CGGGTCCATCGAGCCAGGATTGGCGCCCTCCCGTGGCGAGCCCCTGGCTCTCCCTGTGTGTTGCTGTGTGCCCGCTCTCCTCTCCTGCTCAGCTCTGCCGCGCAGTCAGCTCTGCCGCGCCCCGGCTGCTGCTGCTGCTGCTGCTGCCCGCCGCTGGCAAAAGCAGGTGTCCTTCACCAGGGAAAAATACACAGACGCAACACACACGTCGATCCCCAGGAAAATATGGAGCAGATTTGCGCAGGGCGAAAGATTTTCTTCTTGAGATGAAAATTGGCGATGCGGAGTTCGCGAGATAACATCGGCGCCGCCGAACGGACGGCGTGTGGACGAGCTGCGTGCAGCAACCGAGAGGAGAGAGATGTATTCATGTTGAGTGGGGCCCGCGCTCTCGGAAAGTTGATGGGAGTGCAGGGCCCATCTTGGGAAGTTGGTGACCGTCCCTCCCTCCCCCGTAGAATCTTAACACGGGCGGATTCTGCTATCCGCGGCTCCGATTCCTTCTGGTTCCCCTTTTTAATGATCATGTGCATTTTACACGGGTAAGAAATCGGATCCGCCGTAACAAATAAGACCGTACGTGGATTTAGATCTTCAGCAATCGGTCCGCGCGGACAGGAATTGGGTCCACCCAAGCAGAAATCAAATTCAAAATCTGACACGCGCGAACTTAATCGGATTCCGCGGTCGGTATTTCATGTCCGTCTGTTCAAGACTTCAAACCGTCGTTCCGGGCCCAAGAGGAAAATGTCGTCCTGGGCATGAATGGGAAGTGGAGGGGAAGACGGCACTCAAGGTCTCAGAGCGTGAATTACCTACCCCGCTTTCGCTTCCAGGCAAAACCAAGCCATACCACGCGCCTCCTCGTCAAGCGGCCTAACCAGTACAGGCTGCAATTTGGCATCGCTTGGTACCTCTTGGAAGCGAGGGTGGTCAAAAGCGAGGTAGGTTTGTTTCCCCCCTAAGAACACACGGAACCACAGGGGGGAATCCTGGGATCCGCGCCCCTCTGCTCGCGTGTCCCTGGGCCCCATCCAGCCAGTGGGCCGCCAGGTGAGCTCGAGTGCACGCTCCCCGGTCCTGCCGACCACCAGCCGGCGTGGCCCCCGCGGCCGAGCGCGGCGGGGCGGCGACGAATGGGGGCTGCCCGGAGGCGTCCCTGCGCAGGAGTCACCACCCACCAAACCACCCCAACCCCACCCGAGGGGTCAGATTTACCCTCGATTTCTGGTGTGGGGGGGTCCGGGAACATCGAAGAAACACCTAGGGAGCCCATGCCCCCCCCCCCAACCCGGAATTCGGGTCTTCGGGTTGGGTTGGGGTGGTCTCGTAGGTAGTCGAGGAGCGTTCAAGCCGACGCGCAGCCTTGCAGGCAGCCCGAAAGTCAGGGCCATCCCGGGCGGCCCACGGCCCCCGCAGTCCCGGCCCCGGTCGGCGGGGAGCGAGGGGGGGGGGGGGAAGTGGGAAGGAGAAGGCCTTCTCAGAGGGCGGGGGGACTCCTCAGAAGCCCTCGCGCCCTCTGAGAGGCTTCTGCTGCCTTCGGGGAGAGGCTTGGAGAAGACTTCTCAGAAGGCCAGGGGACCTCCGGGCCTTTTGAGGAGGCCTTCTCCATCTCACTTCCCCCTCCCTCTCGCTCGCCGCCGACCCAGGGGGTGCTGTGGAGCTGGGGCACTAATCCGCCTTCGCCCAGGGGGCTGCTTGGATCTGGGGGCCCTCTGCTTCGAACGCAGATGCCCGCGGTAAGTGGGCAACGTGCCACCGTAGCATTCTCTGTGGCGCTTCCAGGGAATTGCCCAGAAGGCCGTAGCATGTGACAGCTCTCGTCCCCTATGCCCCACAAGGCCGTAACATGTGATTTCTTTCGCCCCCAGGCTCCAGAGGGATGTAACATTTATTTGCCAGTGCTTTCAAACACTTTGCCAGCAGATGATTCGCAGCTCCAGATTAACCCTTGCCGCTTGGTCAAGCGTTGGATCATCAAACAAACGGGTGCTTTCCTTGAGCCTGTATAGCTACAGTGACACGATTTTGCCCAAACAGATATCATTGTCTTGCCGATGCGAGGAACGAATGTGTATCGGATCAACGTGTTTTCTTGTGCTTTGATGTTGAAGTCACACTTGATTTGTAACCCTCACGCATGGACCTGCGACTTGCGGTGTTGGCTCATCAGGGCGGAAGGTAAAGAGCATTGTAGTCGCGCCCAGTTCCAGGACTCCGTTCTTTTATTTCTGCCTGGTTCATTTTGCCGCGTCCATCGTTTGTCTCCATTCCCGTTTTTAGTTGTGGATTCAGCAGACGTGATGGCGCAATTCCGGGCGATTGTTGAGCAGCCCGGTCTGGTGTAGATGTGCATGTTTGAAAGAGCGTGTTCTGCCGCTGCTGGCGGAAAACCAGGGGGGTCACTACCGGTTCGAACCCCGCCCCCCCCTCCTCCGGAAAACCGGGGGGGGGTGGGTCACTACCGGTTCGAACCCCTCCCCCCCCGTCCATCATGAAAAGGGGGGGTGGTCACTAGCGGTTCGAACTCCCCCCCCCCTCGAAAACCTGGGGGGGTCACTACCGGTTTGAACCCCCTCCCCCTCGAAAACCGGGAGGGGGGTGCGGACAGTGGTGGGGACGGTGGTGGTGGGGACAGCGGTGACGGGACAGCGGGGCAGTGGTGGGGACAGTGAGACAGTGGTGGGTGGGGACAGTGGTGAAGGCGGTGGTGAGGACAGTGGTGGGACAGTAGCACAGTGGGGAAAGTGGTGGGGACAGTGGGGGCAGTGGGGACAGTGGGACAGTGATGGGGACAGTGGGGACGCTGGGACAGCACAGTGGGACAGCGGCGGGGACAGTGGGACAGTAGTGGGTACAGTGGGGACAGTGGGACAGTGGTGGGGACCGTGTGGAAAGTGGGGAGTGGGACCGTGGTGGGACAATGGTGGGGAGAGTGGGGACATTGACACATTGGTGGGGGCACTGGTGGGGATAGCGGGGACAATGGTGGGAACAGTGGGGACAGTAGGACAGTGGTGGGGACGGTGGTGGTGGGGACAGTGGTGTAGGGACAATGGGAATGTGGTGGAAACAGTAGGACAGTGGAGGGTACAGTGGTGGTGGGGACAGTGGTGAGGGCGGTGGCGAGGACGGCGGTAGGACAATGGGACAGAGGTACAGTGGGGACAGTGGTGGGGACAGTGGGGACAGTGGCGGGAACAGTGACAGCTCAGTGAGACAGCGGATGAGACAGTGGGACAGTGGGGACAGTGGGGACAGTCGGGCAGTGGTTGGGGCCGTGGAGAAAGTGGGGAAAGCGGAACCGTGATGGGAACAGTGGTGGGAACAGTGGGGACAGTGCGACAGTGGTGGGGGCACTGGTGGGGACAGTAGGGACGGTGGTGGAACCAGTGGGGACAGTGGTGGTGAGGACCATGGTGCTGGGAACAGCAGTGGGGGATGTGTTGCGGACGGTGGTAGGGACTGGGAGTCGTTTGCTGGCGGTGAGGGGGCGGGGAGGGGTTCGAACGGGAGTGATTCCCCCCGGTTTTCGAGGGGGAGCGGGGGGGGGTTCGAACTGGTAGTGACCCCCTCTGGTTTTCGAGGGGAGGGGGGGGGTTCGACCAGTAGTGACCCCCCCGGTTTTCGAGGGGGGGCGGGGTTCGAACCGTAGTGCCCTGCCCTGCTTTTTGGAGGGGGGGGGGTGCGAACGGGTAGTGACCTTCCTCTGGTTTTCTGGGGGGGGGAGGGGTTCGAATTGGTAGTGACCCCCCCCCTCGGTTTTCCGAGGGGGGGGGGGGGGGGGTTCGAACCAGTAGTGACCCCCTCGGTTTTCTGGAGGGAGGGGGGGGTGGAGGTTGTGGAGGGGGGGGTTTTGCCGGTGGAAAGGGGGGGGGTGGGGGAATTCCAGCCAGGTGGGTGGATTTTCGAGGGGGGGGGACCCCGGGGTTCCGGACGAAGATTGTATAGTCTGTGATGTTGGTAGACTGCAGGTTAAGCGTAGGGTAGCGGGGGCTTTGCCATAGCCATTTTGGGTCCGTAGTCGTTGGCTCGAGTTCGAGCCAGGACTCGGGTGGGCAGGGGGGCCGCGGGGCGGCCACAACCGCGGTGCTGCAGTCCGGGGACTGCTGGCATCCTCGCGCTAGCGACCCAGGGTCGCTGGCGCGGGGCGGAGCGGTGCCATGGCGGCGGGCTTCCCGATGGCGCACTTGGCAGTTATGGTTCCTTGGTCGGCCCAGGGGGCGATGGGTTGGTGGCCTTATGGTCGCGCGGCGGGCGTTGGGGCCCCCGCGCCGACGGCGCTACCCAAGCCCGGGCCGAATCTTCAGACGGCGGGCGGTGGTGGGCATGGCAAGGGGCGCGGCGCGCCCGCCAAGCTTGCGCCCGGAGCGGGCGGTGGTGGGCATGGCCAGGGGCGCGGCGCGCCCGCCAAGCCTGCGCCCGGAGCGGGCGGTGGTGGGCATGGCGAGGGGCGCGGCGCGCCAGCCAAGCCTGCGCCCGGAGCGGGCGGTGGTGGGCATGGCGAGGGGCGTGGCGCGCCCGCCAAGCCTGCGCCCGCGGCAGGGAAGGGGCGAGGGCCGCCGGCCAAGCCCCCTGGGGCGCGCCCGGCTGGTGCCACGACGACTACGACTACGACGACGGGGGCGTCCGCACGGCGGGCTGTGACCAGGACTACGACGGCCACGACTACGACGACTTCGACGACCCCCCTGAGGCAGAGGCCTGGGCGCAGGGGCGGTGGCGAACCTACGGGTAGCCCCGCCGCGCCGGATCCTTCGGAGCGACCTTCATTGACACCGTCCGGCCAGCCGGCAGCCCAGAGCAACGGTTCGGGCGCTGGCGAGGCCCCGTCTCCGGTGGATCCGGTTTTCCCCGTCGCTGAGCGAAGCCGCGCGGCGGCCAGCTCCGTGGGGGGCGCTGGGAGCAGCGGGCTGGGCCTCGACTTGCTTCACCTCGGCTGGCTGGCCGCTGGTTGGTTGGCCTGCTGCGTGTTGGGAGCCGAGTGCCGACATCGCCGCATGGAGGCTGCGCTGGCCGAGAAGGGCACCAACCTGCAGCTTTGGGCGACCGAGGCGCTCGACGCCGGGGAGAAGCTGGCCGTGGCCCGGTCGCGGTGCACCGCCCTGGAGGCAGAGCGGTCACGGGCCGCCGTGGGTGCTGAGGAGTGGCGCCAGGCCTACGAAGAGGAGGCGACTCGACGGTGGAGAGAGCGCGTTTCACGGCAGATGATAGCCGAGAGGCTCGTCCAAGGGATGAGCCAGGCGTGCGAGTACGAGCGGGCGCGCAGATTATGTGCCGAGGAGACCTTGGCGAGGAGCCGCGCGCACGTCGCCACCTTGATGGCGATCGTCGACCACCTGACGACGAGCTTCGAGCTGGGGGCCACAGGCGCCGAGAACCTCCGGGCCCGCATCGACGAGCTCGAGGCTGCCGCAGGGGCGGGGGGCGAGGCAGGAGTCAGCACCGCGGATTTCGTCGCGGAGCTACGCGCCGTCGGGGATGATGAGGCCGAGGAGGCGGTCCCGCCGCCCTCGCGCGAGCCTGGCGTGTTCGCGACGACCGAGGGGGTCGACGGCAGAGGAGGAGGAGGAGTAGGCGGCGTAGGAGGAGAGAAGGATGAAGAGGCGCAGGCAGCGAAGGCGCCGGCTGCTGGGCCAGCGGGGACGGGGGGCCGCGCGGCGGTCAATCCCACCCCCTTCCGCCCGCCAGATGGCGAGAGAGCGGCGAGGGAGGAGGTCCGCCCGAGAGCGAGGACGAGGAGGCGGAGGAGGATGAGGAGGACCGCACTCCAGGAGGACGCCCGCACCCCGACCGAGGTTGTCTGCCAACCCCCAGCCGACGGGGGACCGTGGCGGGGCGGCGCGGTCGGTTCCGCCGGCGCGTTCGGATCGGCCATCATGGTCGGGGTGGGCCAGAACGACGGCTACGTGGGCGACGGGGCGCAGAGCAGGCGCGGCGTGCTGACGCTGAAGTACCCAATCGAGCACGGCATCGTGACGAGTTGCGACGATAGGGAGAAGATTTGGCACCACACGTTCTACGCGATGTACGAGGCCATCCCGGCAGTGCTCTCGTTGCACGCTTCCGGCCCTGCCACTTGTATCGCGACGGACTCGGGTGCCGATGTGTCGCATGGGGTGCCAATCTACGAGGGTTATGCCTTGCCGTGCACCATCTTGCGCCTTGACCTGGCCGGCCGCGACCTCACGGGGTACCTGATGAAGGTCGCTGACGTTACGGAGAAGCTCTGCTACGTTGCCCTCGTCTGTGACACTGAGATGCAGGCTGCCACCGAGGTTGGGGACGAGGAGAAGGCGTACGAGCTTCCGGGCGGCAGCATCATCACCGTGGGCAGCGAGCGTGCCCGCTGCCCTGAGGTGCTATTCCAGTCCAGCTTCACCGGCAGGGAAGCCAGCGGCAACCACAACACCCCCTTCCAGTCCATCATGAAGTGCGACGTCGACATCCGCAGGGACCTCCACGCCAACGCGCTTCCGTCTGGCGGCATCACCCTGTTCGCCGGGATCGGGGAGCGCATGAACAAGGAGCTATCCGCCCTGGCGCCCTCGACGATGAGGATCAAGATCGCGGCACCGCCCGAGCGTAAGTACCCCATGTGGATCGGCGGGACCATCCCCCTCACGCAGAGCGCTTCTCAGCAGGAATGGGCTACGAGGGGCGAGTACGACGAGTCTGGCCCCACCATCGTTCACAGGATCGTCATCCGCGAGGCAGCGATGGGAGGTCCAGCCGGGCTGAACGAGGACGGCGGCTTGGCCATGCCTGGGCGGGGACGCGCGGGCGAGGGCGAGCGGGCTGACGACAGCGCCTCGTGCGTCCTCCCCGGCGCCAGCGCCTATGGCAGCGCTGCCCACAGTGCCTATGCCAGTGATGAGGCCCACCCCAACGACGGCGACTGCGCTGGCACCCGTGCCGGCGCAACCGCCAGCGCCGGCGCCTGCGTTGATGCCGGCGCCGCCGCCCGCGGGTACACCAGCGCCGAGGCCAACATCGATCGCGGCCAGCGCGCCAGCACCAACGCCATCGCGTTCACCAGCATCGATGCCAATGCACGCGCAGGCACAGACCCGGCTCCGGATCTCTGGCGCGGGGCCGGCCCCGAGCTGGAAGCACGGCTGCGCCGGCGCGCGCTGGCCCTTGAGGGCGCCAGAGACGCGCTCGCGAGGCGCCGCTCGGAGCGGGCAGCCGCCGTGGCGGCGGGAGGGGCGCCAGCGGAGGCCAAGCAGTGCCGGTTGACGGACGTGCTCGAGACCTGGGAGGTCGCGCGGTTGGAACGCGATGAGTTCCCCCGCGAGGCCCGCGAGGCCCTCGAGGTGGGGCAGCAACTGTTAGTGGGGGCTCGCCGCCACCCCGCCGCGGAGCAGGCGCGGGGCCTCATGGAGATCGGATCCGAGGCCGAGACGGACGTGGAGGCCGACGAGGTTTGGGACATGGATTGGACCACGCACGGCACCGCGGGCACCGCCAGGGGCCCCGTTTCCGGCACCAACGACCCCGCCGATTTCGTCACCGATGTCGCCGCCTGCACCATCATCGGGGGGCAGGGGATCGTGAGCATCACCGCGGGCACGTGGAGGGCCGCGGAGACGGCCGAGGCCGAGACGGACGTGGAGGCCGACGAGGTTTGGGACATGGACTGGACCAGGCTCGGCGACGCGGGCCCCGACGAGGGCCCCGTCCCCCGCACCGACGCCGCCGCCGTCGTCGGCACCGTCGTCACCGCCGGCGCCAACATCAGCGCCAACGCCGACGCCAGCGCCGACGCCGACATCGATGCCGACGCTCAGGCTGGCACCGGGCCCACCTACGACACCAGCGCCGCCGCCCCCGACGCCCCCGCCTGCGCCGGCATCAACGACAGCGACGGCGCCAGGGCCGACGCCTACGCCGGGGCCGCCGCCAGGCTGGACGCCGACGACTGCACCTCCGGCTCCGACACCGATGAGGACATTGCCGCCTCCGCAGCCGCCAGCACGGGCGCCAGCGCCAACGCTCCCAACATCACCGCCGATGCCGGCATCAACGCCATCGGCTCCGAGGGCCGCGCGGGCACCGCCGCCTCCTCGGCTGCCGGCGCAGGCGCCGACATCGACGCTATCGCCCACGCCAGCTCAGTGGCCGGCGAGGTCTGGGCTATGGGTTGGTCCAAGCATGGCGCCGGGTTCCCTGACGTGGGACCTAGCACTAGCACCAACGCCTGCGCTGAGGTCGGCACCAGCATCACGGCCTACGCCAACATCAGCGCCAGCACCGACGCTAGCGCCGACGCCTCCGCTACCGATGCAGGCGCTGCCGGCGTTACCGCCTACGCCGAAACCAACGCCAGCGCCGACGCCGGCGCAAGCGCCGACGCCGCTGCGAGAGCCGGCGTCGGCACCGATACCAGCGCAGGCGCTGGGACCAACGCCGACGCCGACAGGGACGTCTGCACGGGCACCGGCGCCCACACTGCCGCCGGCGCCGACGCTGGCCCTAACGTCGGCGACTGCGCCACCTGCTCCGCGCCTCCGCACGCACGGGCTTGGCTCCGCAGGCTCCGTGCAGCTCGCGCGGGCGCTCTCGCGCGCGCGCGCTGCCAGTTCTGCTTTCGGTCGCGCTCAGCGCGCCGCACGCGTCTCGCGCCCTTCGCGAGCGCGGCCACGCGCCGGCGAGCCGGCGCCGCGCGGTTGGGGCGCGTTTGCTCCCCGCCTGAGCGAGGCCGTGGAGGCCAGTTCAGGCGCGTGCCGTACGTTGCTGGCGGGGCTTGCCCAGCTGGAGCGTCGCGGCTGCCCTCGCCGCCGCCGCGGCAGGCCGCTCCGCGCTTGCCGAGCCACGAGGACCACCTCAAGGGCGACTCCGCCTCCCCCACCGCCGACGCCAACGCCGACGTCGAGGGCTCGAGGAGGGCTGCGGGGACGGACGGGGTCAAGACGGACGCGGAGGCCGACGAGACTCGGGACTGGGACTGGACCAGGTTCGGTGCCGCGGGCCCCGACGGGGGCCCCGTTCCCGGCACCGACGCCGCCGCCGTCGTCGGCCCCGTCGTCACCGCCTGCGCCAACATCAGCGCCAGCGGCGAAGCCGGCGCCGACGCCGACACCGATGCCGAGGCTCAGGCTGGCACCAAGGCCGCATCCTACGACGCGAGCGCCGACGCCAACGTCCCCGCCTTCGCTGACATCAACGCCGGCGACGGCGCCAACGCCGACGCCTATGCCGGAGCCGCCGCCTGGTCCGACGCCGAGCCGCCGCCGCTGCAGGCCGCTCCGCGCCCGCCAAGCTGCGAGGACTGCCGCGAGGGCGACTCCGCCTCCGCCACCGCCGACGTCGACGCCAACGGCGCCTACGCCGACGCCGAGACCAGCGCAGAAACCAGCACCGACGCCGACATCGGCATGACCGTCTACATTGGAACCGCTGCCCGCACCGCCGACGACGCCCGCGCTGGCACTGGGGCCCGCGCCTACGCCGGCGCCGCCGCCGGTCCCGGCGCCAGCGACGGCGCCTTCGGTGCCGACGACGCGACCGCGGGCGTAGTCGCACACCGAGGCACGCACCATGAGGCGGGCGCTACGCGGTTCAGCTTCGTGGCTGCCCGTGCCGCCCAGCCGGCGTTGGTCATGCCGGCGGGGCTTAGCCGCGTGGGTACGAGCCTTAGGGGCGACGTCCCAGCGGCGGGGTTGGCGGTGGCTGGAAACCTTACCGTTCGCATACCTTCGGATCACGTGGAGGATTGCGCGCACGCCCTGGTGAGGCGCGGGGCCGGGCCCCCTGTCAAGGGCACGCGGGCGCTCGACAGTACGTGGGATCCGACAGGCACGCTGACGCCCTTCAGTGCGCCCGCATCCCAAAGCGCGCTTGGGCCTTGCAGCACTCTGGTATCCGAGAGCGTGCCCCAGTCCAACTTCAAGGGTGTGGCTGGGCTCAACGGCAGGCTCCATGGACTGTGGTGTTGTGATTGGATTGGCCGAGGGGATTGGCCCAGGCCTGGCGCCGGGTTCCCCGACGGGGGACCCGGCACCAGCACGGACGCCCGCGTTGAGGTCGGCACCAGCATCACGGCCCACGCCAACATCAGCGCCAGCACTGGCGCCAGCGCCGACGCCGACGCCTTCGATGCCGATGCAGGCGCTGCCAGCGCCACCGTATGCCGAACCCAACGCCACCGCCAACGCCGGCGCCGGCGCCGACGCCGCCGCGAGAGCCAGCGTCAGCACCGCGCCATCGCAGACGGAGCGAGGCCGTGGGAGCCAGCTCGGGCGCATGCCGCACGCTGCCGGCGGGGCTTGCCCAGCCGGGGCGTCACAGTTGATCGCCGCCGCCGTTGTGGGCCACTCCACGCCTGCCGAGCTGCGAGGACTGCCGCGAGGGCGACTCCGCCTCCGCCACCGCCGACGCCGGCGCCGACGTCGACGCCAACGTCACCGCCTATGCCGACAACGACGCCAGCGACGACGCCGGCGCCGGCGCCGTCGCTGACGCGGGCGCATGCGCCGACGCCGGGTCCCGCGCAGCGACCAGCGCCGACGCCGACATTGGCATGACCGTCTACATTGGGACCAGCGCCCACACCGCCAACAGCACCCGCGCTGGCACTGGTGCCCGCGCCTACGCCGGCGCCGCCGCCGGTCCCAGCGCCAGCGACGGCGCCTCCGGCCCCGCCGGCGCCGACATCGCGACCGCGGGGGTGGTCGCGCACCAGGGCACGCACAATGAGGCAGACGTTTCTCGGTTCAGATGCCTGGCTGCCCGTACCGCCCAGCCGGCGCTGGTCATGCAGGCGAGGCTTAGCCGCGGGGGCACGAGCCTTAGGGGCGACGTCCCAGCGGCGGAGCTGGCGGTGGCTGAGGACCTTACTGGTCGCATACCTCCGGACCACATGGAGGATCGCGCGCGCACCCTGGCGAGGTGCGGGGCCGTGCCCTCTATCACGGGCACGCGGGTGCTCGACAGCACGTGGGTGCCGACAGGCACGCTGTCGCCCACCAGCGCGCTCGCATCCCGGAGCGCGCCTGAGCTTGGCGGCACGCCGGTATTCGGGAGCGTGCTCCAGCAGTCCAACTTCGAGGGCCTGACCGGTTTCCACAGCGGGCTCCATAAATTGCGTTGTGATTGGATCGGCCGAGGGGCACCCGCCACGTCCTTTTCGGGCCCATCGGCGGCGGACCCGAAGGAGGAGGCGTGCGGGGGTGGCTCAAAAGCGGCCCGATGCGCGCCAAGACCCGACATCGGGAGGCGACGGCGGGCGGGCAGCGGCTGCAATGGCACCTACAGCGGCGCCTACCGCGGCGCCGTCGGCGCCGACGGCGCCAGCCGCGCCAACCGTGGCACCGACGGTTGCGCCGATGGCATCACCGACAGCAGGGACGGCCGCGCCGATGGCATCACCGACGGCGGCGCCGCCGGGGCCAACAGCCGCACCGGCCGTTGCGCCGCCAGCGGCGGCGAGGGCGGCACCGATTGGCGCCCCGACAGCTGCGGCCCCGGCAGCCACGCCCACGGCTGCGCCGACGGCGGCACCGACTGCCGCTCCGACGGCTGCGGCACCGACAGCCTCACCGACAGCTGCCCCAACAGCCTCGGCGGCGTTGACGGCGGCACCGACTGCCGCTCCGACAGCTGCGGCCCCGACAGCCACTCAGGCGGCACCGACCGCCGCTCCGACGGCTGCGGGGCCCGCAGCCGCACCGGCCGCTGCGCCGTCAGAGGCGTCGAGGGCGGCGCCGATTGGCGCCCCGATCGCGGCGCCGCCAGCACCGCAGGCAGCGGCGCCGACGGCATCACCGACAGCGGCGCCGACGGCCCCAATAGTCGCTCCGACGGCCGAGTTGTCGGCGGCGTTGGCGGCAGCACCCGCCGCCGCGCCGACAACGGCGGCCCCGACGGCCGCGCCGACGGCCGGCCCGGCGGCGGCGCCGACTGCCGCTCCGACAGCTGCGGCGCCGACAGCCTGGCCGACGGCTGCGCCAGTAGCCCTGGCGGCGTCGACGGCAGCACCTACTGCGGTTCCGGCGGCTGCGGCCCCGACAGCCGCGTCGGCGGCTGCGCCACCAGTGGCGTCGGCTGCCGCCCCGACTGCGGCGCTTGCAGCCGCACCTGCAGGGGCGCCGACGGCATCACCGACAGCGGCGCCGATGGCACCGACAGCCGCTTCGACGCCAGCACCGACGCCGGCTCCGACGCCGGCACCGACGCCAGCACCGACGCCAGCTCCGACGCCAACACCGACGCCGGCTCCGACGCCAGCACCGACGCCGGCTCCGACGCCGGCTCCGACGCCGGCACCTCCGACGCCAGCGCGGGCGCCGGGCCAGCGCCTAGGGCGGGGGCGGGGCCGTGGACAGGCGCGGACGTGGAGTTCGGGGCCATGCACTTGGGCGACGCCGGCGCAGACAACCGCACCGACACCTACGCCTCCGCCGTCGCCCGCGCTGGCCCTATCGCCCGCGCCCACGCCCACGCCGACGCCGACGCCGTTTTCGTCACGCCCGCTGATGCCGTCGGCCTCGCTTCCGCCGCCGCTGCAGGGGTCGCCGAAGTCGCCGGGCGGGGGGCTGGGACTCCAGGGCTTCCAGAAAGGGCCAAACCCAAGCGCGTGCAGACACCCTTTCGCACGCGCTTGAGAAAGGGGGCCGGGGGGGCCCCCAGGCAGGGCCTGCCGGAGCCGCCGGGGTCGCCGCCGGAGCCAAAACACGGTGCAGCGGCGGCGAGGACGGCGGCAAGGGCCCGGCGTCGATCGGGACGGGGGCGGCCCCAGCGGCGGCCCCGAAGGCGGCTGTATCGCTGCCAGAGGCGCGACCGGCGGCCCACAAGGCCCAGGGAGGCCCCTGGGCAGCCCTGGCGGCGTCCCCGGCGGCGGCTGCATGGACGCAATCGTCCACGCAGGAGGGCCCCCAGGCGATTCAGCTGCGGGATGAGGCTCGCCACCACCGCGCCGCGGGGCCCATCGGCTGCGAGGCCCGCGCGGGCGCCGTCGCCTTCTCGGCTGCCAGCGCAGGTGCCAGCACCGACGCTTTCCCCATCGCCCGCGCAGAGGCTGGCGAGGTCTGGGCCGTGGATTGGTCCAGGCTTGGGGCCAGGTGCTCCGACGTGGGACCCGGCACCAGCACCGACGCCAGCGTCAAGGTCGGCTCCAGCATGGCCCGCGCCAACATCAGCGCCAGCACCGACGCCCGCGCCGACGACGACGCCTTCGATGCCGATGCAGGCGCTGCCGCCTCCGCGACCGCCCACGCCGCGGCCGGCACCGACGCTTGCACCACCGCCATCTCCGACACCGGCGCCTCAGCCAGCACGGACGACGAGGTCTGGGACTTAGACTGGCCCCGGCTCGGCGCCGACGCGGGCCCCGCTACCAGCATCGGCGTCAACGCAGACGTCGACGGCGGCGTCATCGCCTACACCGAAACCAACGCCAGCGCAGACGCCAGCGACGGCGCCGACGCCGCCGCGAGAGCCGGCGTCAGCACCGATACCATCGCGGGGGTCGGGGCCGACGCCGACGCCGACAGGGGCGTCTGCACGGGCGCCGGCGCCCGCGTTGCCGCCGGCGCCGACGCTGGCCCCAACGTCGGCGACTGCGTCGCCGACGCCTCGCTTCCGCACGCGCGCGCTTGGCCCCGCAGGCTCCGTGCCGCACGCGCGGGCATTCTCGCGCGTGCGCGCTGCCCGTTCGGCTTGCTGACGCCCTTAGCGCGACGCGCGCGTCTCGGGCCCCGCGCGGGCGCGGCTTCGCGCCGGCGAGCCGGCGCACCGCGGGTGGGGTGCGTCTGCCCTCTGCCGGAGCGAGGCCGCGGGGGCCAGCTCGGGCGCATGCCGCGCGCTGCCGGCGGGGCTTGCCCAGCCAGGGCGCCGCAGCAGCCCTCGCCGCCACCGCTGCGGGCCGCTCCGCGCCGGCCGGACTGCGAGGCCTGCCGCGAGGGCATCTCCATCGCCGCCGCCGCCGACGCCAGCGCCGACGTCGACGCCAACGTCACCGCCTACGCCGATAGCGACGGCAGCGACGAGGCCTGCGCCGGCGCCAACGCTGACGCGGGCGCCCGCGCAGGCGCCGAGACCAGCGCAGGCGCCATCATCGAGGGGCTGGAGTTCGTGAGCAACATCGAGGGCTCGAGAAGGGGCGCGGGGTCGGACGGGGCCGAGACGGACGTAGAGGCCGATGGGGTCTGGGACATGGTCTGGGTCAGGCTCGGCGCCGCGGGCCCTGAAGAGGGCACCGTTCCCAGCACCGACGCCGCCACCGTCGTCAGCGCCGTCGCCAACGCCTGCGCCAGCATCAGCGCCGACGCCAGCGCCGACGCCGACATCGTTGCCGATGCGCGGGCTGGCACCGGGGCCGCGTCCTGCGACGCCAGCGCCGACGCCCCCAATGCCCCCGCCTACGCCGACATCAACGCCAGCGACGACGCCAGCGCAGACGCCGACGGCGAGGCCTATGATGACGTTGCCGCTTCCGCCGCCGCGACCGCAGGCGCCCGCGCCGACGCTACCAACGTCACCGCCGACGCCGGCATCAACGCCATCGGCTGCGAGGCCCGCGCGGGCGCCGTCGCCTTCTCGGCTGCCGGTGCAGGTGCCAGCACCGACGCTTTCCCCATCGCCCGCACAGAGGCCGGCGAGGTCTGGGCCGTGGTCTGGTCCAGGCCTGGCGCCAGGATCTCCGGCGTGGGACTCGGCACCAGCATCGACGCCAGCGCCAAGGCCGGCTTCAGCATCACGGCCCGTGCCAACATCAGCGCCAGCGCCGACGCCCGCGCCGACGCCGAGGCAGGCGCTGCCGCCTTCGCGACCGCGAACGCCGCGGCCAGCACCGACGCTAGCGCCGCCGCCAGCTCCGACTTTGGCGCCGTAGCCAGCACGGGCGATCTGGACTGGCTCACCGGCACCACGCTTCCGCGCGCGCGCGTTTGGCCCCGCAGGCTCCGTGCCGCTCACGCGGGCATTCTCGCGCGCGCGCGCTGCCCGCCCGACTTTCGGACGCGCTTAGCGCGACGCGCGCGTCGCGGGCCCTTCGCGGGTGCGGCTCCGCGCCGGCGGGCCGGCGCCGTGCGGTCGGGGTGCGTCTGCCCCCTGCCTGAGCGAGGCCGTGGGGGCCAGCTCGGGCGCGTGCCGCACGCTACCGACGGGGCTTGCCCAGCCAGGGCGCCGCAGCAGCCCACGCCGCCACCGTTGCGGGTCTCTCCGCGCCTGCCGAGCTGCGAGGACTGCCGCGAGGGCGACTCCACCTACGCCACCGCCGACGCCAGCGCCGACGTCGGTGCCAATGTCACCGCCTACGCCGACAGCGACAGCAGCGACGACGCCAGCGCCGGCGCCGACGCTGACCCGGGCGCTTGCGCCGACGCCAAAACCAGCGCAGAGACGAACACCGGCGCCGGCATCGACGTGGCCGTCTACGCTGGGGCCAGCGCCCGCACTGCCTTCGGCGCGGAGCATTGCATCCCCGCGATCGGGCACGGCATGCCGCGGAAGACCGATGCCGCCCAGGTCCGGCAGGTCGCAGCCACCGCTCCTACCGCGAGGGGGGCAGCCCGCATGGGCGAAGTCCCCGCGGCAGACCCACCATCTTATCTGGAGTCGCATGGGGATGGGGTTACGTTTCCAGCGGTCGGCCTGGACTGCCCGCCGGCAAAGTCAGAGTCGGAGAACGTGGTCGTACTCAAGGGCGTGCTCCAGGCCGGGGATGCCCAGGTGCTCGACGTCACATCGATGCTCGTGGGCGCCCTGGAACGCCGTGGCGCGCTGACCCGCCCCGGGCAGCCACCGGGCGGGAGGCCCGCCATGGCGACCCCGCCCCGCGAGGTACGGCTACTTGCGCTTGCGTTCACTGGCTCGCGTGGGCCCATCTTGCTGATGGTCGCGTTCGATGGCGTGGTCGTGCTCGCCCTCCCGGCCAGACCCGACTGGCAAGCGTCGGCCGCGGGACAGGGGTCCGCTTGGCCCGGCTGCGAGGGGATCAGCCCAAGGAGCGAAGTCCCAGCGGCCGTTCCACCCTTGGTCTATGGCAGGTGGGTCCTCACAGGTGCGCCGGTGCTCAACAACGCGCGCGCGCTTGGGGGCGAAGCTCTGCTCCACAGCGCGGTGCTCAAGGACGTGGTCCGGTTCGCGGCCGCGCTCCTGCCCCAGGGCGCGCTCGAGGTCACGAGCTTGTCGAGGTTCGGCGGCATGCAGATGCGCACGGTGGTCCGGCTCACGGCCGCGCTCCTGCCCCAGGGCGCGCTCGAGGTCACGAGCTTCCCGAGGCTCGACGGCATGCAGGTGCGCACGGGCGTGCCTGTGGCCAACGGCGCGACGGTGTTCCCGGACGTTCTTGGCATTCCCCACTGCGTGATGGTACTCCCGGAGGGGCCGTGCTTGCAGTGGGCGTGCTTCGTTTGTATTACCTTATCCGCAGCCGCCTGCGACAACCCGCAGTCTACCGCGGGACATGGCCCTGCCGGGCCCGGCCGCGGAGGGACGCGCCCATGGGGCGGGGTTCCAGCGGCGGGCGGCCTGTTGGTGGATGGCCACGCCGATATTGGGCCAGGCCGCGAGGGGACCAGCCCTTGGGGCGAGGTTCCAGCGGCGAAGGTATGTTCGTCCGTGAGACAGGGCCCAGCTGGGCCCGGCCGCGAGGGGACCAGCCTCAGGGGCGCAGTCACGGCGGCAAACCTGCTCTTCGTCGAGGGCCCATGTGGTCGTGTTCACGCGCGCGCTCAGTTCCCGGGGCACGCACGAGGTCACGAGCGTGCCTGCGCTCGACGGCGCGCTGATCGGCGACGTGTTTGTGTTCAAGGGCGCGCGCAGCTGCAAGGGCGCTCGGGTGCTCGACGACATGCCGGTGCTCACGGGCATTGCAGTGTTCAGCGACGCAGTGGCGCAGTACTTGCGGCCGCTGGGCGAGCTCGAGCGAGGGAGCAGTGGCTACATTGCTCGCATCACTTGCTCGCTCATACCGGGTGCGTTGCTTGCCTTTTACGGATCCCGCGACAGTCGACCCGGGGGCCCGCTGAGGGCCGCGGGGCGGACGGCGAGGCCGTTTGCGCCAGCTGCCTGGCGACGCCGCCTGGTGTCGGGAGGGCCTGGTCGAGGTGCAGCTGGCAGCCGAGGGCCTACTCGACGAGGATGCCGAAGGGCGCGACGACGGGGGCGAGCGGATCGACCTACGTTGACATGTTCGCCGGCAGCATGGGGCATCGAGGGCCGCGCGCTGACCGCCACAGGGGAACCGCCCGACGACGGGGATTAGAAGGAGGAGGACCGGGGGGAGCGACGGGCTGCTCGGGCCACGTGGCGTCCTCTGGGCTGCAGCCAGCTTGCACCTCCAGCTCGCGCGTGTGCTTTCGCACGCGCGCGCTCGCTCTCTGCGTGTTCTATGTCGCGTCCGGCGCGACGCGCGCGGCTAGCGCCTTTCGCGGGCGCGATCCCGCGCCGGCGGGCCGGCGGCGCGCGGCCCTGGGGAGCGTTTAGCCCCCCGCGCCTGGGCGAGGCCGTAGGGGCCAGCTCGGGCGCGCGTTGCACGCCGCCGGCGGGGCGCTGCCCAGCCGGGGCGGCCTGGCGCCCGCTCCAGGAAGGCCTCAGGCTTGCAGGCCAGTGGTCGCGCGCCCGGGCGTCCTTCGCCCGCGCGCGGCTGCGTTCTTTTGGTTTTGGCCGTGCGGCAGCAGGGCGTGCCAGAACGCGCGCGCGCCACTGGGCGCGCGCGCGGGCGGCGCGGCGTCCCGCCGGACCCGCGCCTTCAGGGTGGTGCGCGTGGCCGCTTTGCCATTGAAAGATATCTTCATTGTCCTTCCCCCGTCCTCGTCTTCCTTCCTCCTCCTCTTCCTCCCTCTCCGTTTAGTGCACGCGTGGCTTCGCTTAACTTGTATAGTCTGTGATGTTGGTAGACTGCAGGTTAAGCGTAGGGAAGCGGGGGCTTTGCCATAGCCATTTTGGGTCCGTAGTCGTTGGCTCGAGTTCGAGCCAGGACTCGGGTGCCCACCCACCCCGCTTCGCTCCCTGTGCACCCTGCTCCGCTCGGCACCAGATCCGTGCGGCAGCAGGGCGTGCCAGAACGCGCGCGCGCCACTGGGCGCGCGCGCGGGCGGCGCGGCGTCCCGCCGGACCCGCGCCTTCAGGGTGGTGCGCGTGGCCGCTTTGCCATTGAAAGATATCTTCATTGTCCTTCCCCCGTCCTCGTCTTCCTTCCTCCTCCTCTTCCTCCCTCTCCGTTTAGTGCACGCGTGGCTTCGCTTAACGGGGGAATTGTCCATAGTAAAGTTGCAAAGCGGCGGTGGATTACGCTCTCTTGCATGTTCGCATCAGTTGTAGTGCCCGCGTGTTCTTATGCCTCCATGCATCCCTTTTGGGGGGAATGCGCTGTCAAATAGATTCGGCGCATTGAGTGACATCGCCACTTAGCCGCAGCCTGCACATGGAATGTTAACGATTGTTCTTGTCTTCGAGGTTTGAACCTGCCAAACACTAATTCGCGGCTCGTCATCGATCTGCGCCGTTCAAGTGAGTCAGGTTGCACGGACGTTGTCTCCATTGCAGGAGTGTGCGAGCTGAGCGCCAGGAAGTGCACGGCGATGCCATGTGTTATCCGATCGGAAGTGGCACTCGTGCACCTTTGGACTGCACGATCGGTGGAACACCTCAACGCATTTTCATCCGGTGATCGAGTACCAGCGACACGCCGGCCGCCTGTTGCGGACGTCACATTTAGGTTCTGCGCGCTGTATGCGATGCGTGTTGAATGCGTGTATTGGTGCGCTTTCGCAGGCCTAGAGGTTGGCACCAACACCAATTTCGGCGGTGTGCCTCAACCGAGGGAAGAAGATCCCGATCTCGGTGATGGTGGAATTATTCTGGCTTCCAAGGTGGCCGAAGTATTACCACCAGCACCGAAATCGAGGATCATCTTCCCCCTGTGGAGGCAACCCCCTATGTTGGTGTTGGCGCCCATTTCCAGGCCTCCCACGCTTCCCCAGCGGGATGGCAATGCTGCCGTGCTTGGCCTCCGGCGCCCTCCTGGAGAACTACGGCCTCACGGTCAGGGGCACGTTCATCGATGGTCGGGGTCGGGGGGCAGGTTTACTAGCATGGAACATATCCCTATCCCTATGTTGGGCATCTCGTCATCACGATGCCAATCTTAGGGATTCCCTTATTTTTCCCAACCATCCTGTGGTGTTGGGTCCTCGTTTTGAAGAGACGGTGCCCCGCGTTCCCGCCTCCTTCCCCCCTCCCTCCTCCCCCCTCCTCCCCCTCCCACACCCATTCTGGCACACCCCTCACACGTTTCGTGGCCCCATAGGGAGCTCCAGCGAAGGCCCCACTGGCTGCGTTCGCATGCGGTTCCACCCCCCATTTCGGCACACCCCTCACACGTTTCGTGGCCCCATAGGGAGCTCCACCAAAGGCCCCAGTGGCTGCGTTCGCGTGCGGTTCCATCCCCATTTCGGCACACCCCTCACACGTTTCGTGGCCCCAGGGTGAGCTCCACCGAAGGCCCCAGTGGCTGCGTTCGCATGCGGTTCCACCCCCCATTTCGGCGCACCCCTCACACGTTTCGTGGCCCCGGGGGGAGCTCCACGAAGGCCCCAGTGGCTGCGTTCGCATGCGGTTCCATCCCCCATTTCGGCACACCCCTCACACACGCTTCGTGGCCCCATAGGGAGCTCCAGCGAAGGCCCCAGTGGCTGCGTTCGCATGCGGTTCCACCCCCCATTTCGGCACACCCCTCACACGTTTCATGGCCCCATAGGGAGCTCCACCGAAGGCCCCAGTGGCTGCGTTCGCATGCGGTTCCACCCCCCCATTTCGGCACACCCCTCACAGTTTCGTGGCCCCATAGGGAGCTCCACCGAAGGCCCCAGTGGCTGCGTTCGCATGCGGTTCCCCCCCCATTCGGCACACCCCTCACACGTTTCGTGGCCCCATAGGGAGCTCCACCGAAGGCCCCAGTGGCTGCGTTCGCATGCGGTTCCACCCCCCATTTCGGCACACCCCTCACACGTTTCGTGGCCCCATAGGGAGCTCCACCGAAGGCCCCAGTGGCTGCGTTCGCATGCGGTTCCACCCCCATTTCGGCACACCCCTCACACGTTTCGTGGCCCCAGGGGGAGCTCCACCGAAGGCCCCAGTGGCTGCGTTCGCATGCGGTTCCGCCCCCTATTTCGGCACACCCCTCACACGTTTCGTGGCCCCAGGGGGAGCTCCACCGAAGGCCCCAGTGGCTGCGTTCGCATGCGGTTCCACCCCCCATTTCGGCACGCCCTTCACACGTTTCGTGGCCCCAGGGGGAGCTCCAGCGAAGGCCCCAGTGGCTGCGTTCGCATGCGGTTCCACCCCCCATTTCGGCACACCCCTCACACGCTTCGTGGGTGGCTCCATGGGGAGCTCCACCGAACGCCCCAGTGGCTGCGCTCGCATGTGGCCCCCCCCCCCATTTCGGCACACCCCTCACACGGTTCGTGGCCCCATAGAGAGCTCCACCGAAGGCCCCAGTGGCTGCGCTCGCATGCGGTTCCACCTTTTTTTCGGCACGCCCTTCACACGTCTCGTGGCCCCATAGGGAGCTCCACCGAACGCCGCAGTGGCTGCGCTCGCATGCGGTTCCACCCCCCATTTCGGCACACCCCTCACACGTTTCGTGGCTCCATAGGGAGCTCCACCGAAGGCCCCAGTGGCTGCGCTGGCATGCGGTTCCACACCCCATTCTGGCACACCCCTCGCACGTTTCGTGGCCCCATAGGGGGCTCCACCAAAGGTCCCAGTGGCACTGCCCGCTTGCGTCCGCCACCACCCAGCACAGCCCTTGTTCCCTGCGCTTCACCCACCCAGAACAGCGCTTCGTAGCCCTATAGGGAGCTCCACCAAAGGTCCCAGCGGCACCGCCCGCATGCGTCCGCCACCACCCTGCACAGCCCTTGCTCCCTGCCTGCGTTTCACCCACCCAGTACAGCGTTTCGTGGCCCCATGGGGAGCTCCACCAAAGGTCCCAGTGGCACCGCTCGCATGCGTCCGCCACCACGCAGCACAGCCCTTGCTGACCGCGTCTCGCCCACCCAGTACAGCGTTTCGTGGCCCCATAGGGAGCTCCACCGAAGGTCTCAGTGGCACCGCCCGCATGCGTCCGCCACCACCCAGCACAATTGCGGCATTCACAACTGCATATGGTTGGGTCCTTCGCCAGGCTAATTTGAGGGCGCATCCCTAAGATTGACATCGCCTTTTGGGGTGTCAATCTTAGGGATAGGGACAGGTTCGAGGCTGGTAAAGGTGGGCCATTTCCATCGGTGATGTGATGCAAACGGGTTGAGGCAGGACGTTTGGATGTTTTCAAGTTGACGCAGAGGCGAGACGACGGGTTGCTGAAAGCTGCCCCACCCTCTCTGCGCTGTCGTTCACCATGGCGGACTCTTTGTAGGATTTCGACCGCACCCTTGCTTTCGCGAGTAAGTTTCGGAATCAGAGATGTCGGTGGCACTTCCTACACTGGTCTGAGGCCACCATGCCGTGGTGGTCGTGCTTGTGACCGAAGCGGCAGCATCCGTAGAGGAGGAGATTGGCTTGGGACCTTACCGGGATTCCCTTTCAATGCTCAGGCCCTTTTATCCAAAGGTTCTGGGCCTCTTGACCCTGGATCAGGTCTCAGCGGCGAACATGGGCGCAGAGCGTATCGGCGTATCGGAGAACTCTACCAACTTTCGTTTCGCAGCTGGCGCTAAGAGCATCTCAGGTTGTTGCTGCAGCACTTCGATCTTCGATCCTCCAGCTGCTGCAGCCGTCGAGGTCGCGAGGGCGAGGCGCCTTCTGCTGCCTGGGCCTGGCCCCCAGAGGCGAGCTGGAGACTCCCACGCAGTGAGGCTGCTACGGACGGGGGACACGGAAGGCGAGGAGGGTCGTCGTCGTCGTCGCCGTAGCAGTCGTCGTCGTCGCCGCCTCCGCCGCCGCCGACGTCGTCGTCGTCGTCGTCGTCGTCGTCGTCGTCGCCGCCGCCGCCGTCGCCGCCGTCGCTGTCGTCGTCGTCGTCGTCGTCGCCGTCGCCGCCGTCGTCTCCGCCGCCGTCGTCGTCGCCGCCGTTGCCGTCGCCGTCCCCCCACGGGCAGCGAAGGGCCCGTGCACTGGTTCGACGTCGCGGGCGGCGGCGCGCTGCGAGCGCGTTCGGCGCCGCCGCGCGGTGGCCGCCCGTGCGGCGAGCCCGGCTCGCCCGTGGTACGCAGGCGTGGCCCGCGACGATTGGCAACGACGACGGCGACGACGACGACGACGATCCCTGCGGCGGCGGCGGCGACGACGACGACGACGACGACGACGACGGCGAAGACGACAACGACGACGGCGGCGGCGACGACGACGACGACGACCACGACGACGACGACGACGACGACGGCGGCGAAGACGACGACGACGACGACGACGACGACGACTGCCAGCGACGAGGACGAAGACGACGACGACGACTGTCAGCGACGACGATGACGACGACGACTGTCAGCGACGACAATGACGACAACGACGGTCGGCGCTAGTCGGCGACGGCGACGGTCGACGACAGTCGACGGCGACGACCTGTATCGACGACCACGACGACGACGACGGCGGCGGCGGCGACGACGACGACCATGACCACGACGACGACGACGGTCGGCGACCACGACCTGTAGCGATGACGATGACCACGGCAACGACGACGACGACGACGACGACGGTCGGCCACGGGTCGCGACGATGATGACGGCGATGGTCGGCGATTGTCGGCGGAGATGATGGTTGCGACGGTCGGCGGCGGTGGCGGCGGCGGCGACGACGACGACGACAACAACAACCGCGGGACAATGCGGCCTGGGTCGTGCGGGGCTGGACACTCAACCCCGTATAGATATGGACACGCGGTTGGAAAACCTTGGAAAGTCGGTCGTCGTTACTGTGCGGGTTTGCTGTAGGTCTGCGGCGGGGATATCATTCGTTCCAGCAGTTGGGTGTGGCAGTTCGCCGAACTCCCCCGAGAACCCTCCATGGAGGTTTTTTCCCTAATGTTTATCGGGTTTACGGTGTTTTTTTGTTTTTGTTTCAGGGTGTTTTTTTGATTTCTTGCGGTATTTTCCCGGGAGGGAAAGCCATAGACAAAAAACCCAACTCGATTTTTTCTGTGGTTTTTCGGGGTCCTGGGGCTCCACAATCAAATACAAGACTATTGTTGACCCCCCTTGGAAAACCACCGCAAAACCACCCAACTCTGAGACTATTCTGTTTTCTTTTTTCAAGGTTTTCTGTGAGGGGAACTTTCGAAAACCCTTCTAACCATTTTTGTTTTAAGGTTTTTCCTATGGTTCTTCGGTTTTTCTCCAAGTAGGCTTGCCCTATAGGAGTCCTAGCTCAAACCCTACTAATTGGTCCGTTGCCCCTCCCCCCGCTAATTCCTATAGCTATGAAAGAGCGTGTTCTACCGCTGCTGGCGGAAAACCGGGGGGGGGTCACTACTGGTTCAAACCCCTCCCCCCCCCCCTTTCCGGAAAACCGGGGGGGGTCACTACCGGTTCGAACCCCTCCCCCCCCCCAGTTCATTATGAAAAGGGGGAAGGGGGGGGGTCACTACCGATTCAACCCCCCCCCCCCTCGAACTTGAAAACGGGGGGGGTCACTACCAGTTCGAACCCCCCCTCCCCCCCCTCCCCCCTTCGAAAACCGAGGGGGGGTGCGGACAGTGGTGGGGACGGTGGTGGTGGGGACAGTGATGAGGGGACAGCGGGACAGTGGTGGGGACAGTGGGACAGTGGTGGGGACGGTAGTGGTGGGGACAATGGTGAGGACAATGGTGGGAACAGTGGGGACAGTGGGACAGTGGTGGGGACGGTGGTGGTGGGGACAGTGGTGTGGGGACAGTGGGAATGTGGTGGAAACAGTAGGACAGTGGAGGGTACAGTGGTGGTGGGGACAGTGGTGAAGGCGGTGGCGAGGACGGCGGTGGGACAATGGGACAGAGGTACAGTGGGGACAGTGGTGGGGACAGTGGGGACAGTAGTGGGAACAGTGGGACAGCTCAGTGGGACAGCGGAGGAGTCAGTGGGACAGTGGGGACAGTGGGGATAGTCGGGCAGTGGTTGGGGCCGTGGAGAAAGTTGGGAGAGTGGAGCCGTGGTGGGAACAGTGGTGGGGACAGTGGGGACAGTGCGACAGTGGTGGTGGCACTGGTGGGGACAGTAGGGGCGGTGGTGGAACCAGTGGGGACAGTGGTGGTGAGGACAGTGGGGGATGTGGTGAGGACGGTGGTAGGTCGTTTGCCGGTAGTGAAAAGGGCGGCGAATTTTTCCGGGGGGGGACCAGGTTTTCCACAGTAGCGGCGGTGGATCACGCTCTCTCATAGCTATGCCTATGCCCATGCCTCCCCCCTAACTCCTGTGCCTATGCCTATGCCTATGCCTATGCCAGCCTGCCTGCCTGCTTGCTTGCTTGCTTGCTTGCTTGCTTGCGCGCTTGCTTGCATGCTTGTTTGCTTGCTGAGTTGCGGATTCCAATCATGCTTGATTCCTCTGATTCTTTGATTTGAGTCGTCGAATCTATTTGGAGTCAACGCTGGCTGATATTTTCACGGAAAACCGCAGGAAAAAACACCTCCACCGCGGATTTTTGTTGTTTTTTTGTCGGGGGTCTGAGGCCCCAAGATTAGAAGCCCTTCCGGGAAACTTTTGAAAAGCTCCAAACTCGGAGGTTATTCGGTAGTTATTCGGGAGTTCTGCGGCCCCACACTTACAAACACATTTATTTTTGAAAACCACCCGGAAACATCACCGAACATCTTTTTGATTTTTGTGGGAGGGGAAACCTCAGAAACAAAAGCCCAACTCGGGTTTTGTTTGAGTTTTTTTTCTGGTTTCTTTGGCCAGTCCAGGCTGCAGGATTCTCCGAAGGGGGGAAAACAATGGAATAACAAGCCCAACTCAGATGATTTTTGGGGGTGTCGGAGGTTCTCCAGCCAGGCCAGGCTCCCGGATTCTCCGCGGGGGGGGGCAGCTTCGAAAAACTCCCGATTCCTAGTTTTCGTTCAAGGCTTTTTCGGGGGTTCTGGGGCCCCACAATAAAAAACATGACTATCTCTGAGAACCTCCCTGGGGAACTCCCGAGAAACTCCCGACCTCGGCGGTTGCTCGGTGGTTTTTCGGGGGTTCTCTGGCCAGCCCAGGCTCCAGGATTCTCCGGGGGGGAAACATTTCAGAAAAATCCTGACTTTTTTTCGATGTTTTTTCGGGGGTTCTTCGGCCAGCCTCGGCTCCCGGAGTCTCTGGGGGGGAAGCACCGAAAAACAATGCAATTTGGGTTTTTCTCCAAATGTTTTTCGGGGGTTCTGGGGCCCCACAATTAAAATCGATAACATTTTTGATCCTCCCCCAAAAACTCCCGAGGGGTGAGGGAAAGAGAGGGACAGGCGGGGGAGGAGGAGAAGGAGGAGGAAGCGAGCAGAATGGCCAATGGCCTCATGGATGCCTTGCGGAGACTTTTTTTCGGATGTCTCCGAAAAGTTTCTGTGGGTTCTCTTGGAGCGTTTTGGCGGCCTGTTGGCGGTTCTGGGAGCCTCTCAGGGCGTCTTGGTTGCCGCGGGGGAGCCTCTTGGGGCGTCTTGGGGGTCTCTTAGGACTCAATTCAGGACCCCTTGGAAGCCTCTTGGGGCCTCCTGGGTGCCGTTTGGTGGCGGGCAGCGGGGGCCATCTTGGGGCCAGCCTGCAGGTGATCGATCAAGAAAGGGGCGAGTTAATTGTTGACGCTTCGCGTATCTCCAGTCTTACCGTAGCCTGGCTCAAGCCATTTCGGATCAAGGGGAGTCCACCATCTGCAGTCGTCAATCCTGTGCGAAAGCAGTGCTGCCGACGCAGCCCTTGCACCTGCAGCCAGCAAGCTGTCGCTTGCCGTCGCGCAATGCTTCCGCTTGTGTTGCTGGTGCCCCTGGCACTGGTGAGCCTCGACCTCGTGGTGCCGTGGCCATCGGCTTCGGGTGTCGGGCTGCCCCCGGTGCTGGTGCCCTCGAGCTTGGCTCCAGACGCGGTGATGTCGAGGCGTTTGTCTTATTACCACCCTGACTACAACAGCTACGACGACCACGACGCCCCCTACAACTCGGTGGACCCATCTGACGTGCTTTTGCTTTACTACATCTATATATATATATATATATACGGGATTATCTACTTCATGATTTGGGTGCCGCTTATGGTCGCCTTTTTGACTGCATCGTGGGTCTTCGCTTGCCGGTACAAGATGAACGTGACCGACAATAGGCCGCCCCTCCAGGACGGGCTGGCTCCGTGCGCGCAGACGGACGACTTCGAGACACGCCAGTTCGGCTGCTTCGAGCACATGTCCACCTGTCTGCATGCGCTGTGCTGCCCAGTTTGCCGCGCCGCGGACACCTACAAAGGAGCTGGCATCGAAGAGTACTGGGGCGTGGTCTTGTAATTCATATTGGCCATCGTAGTCGGCGACCTCGTTGGCATTATTGTCAAAGTCCTGATTGCCATGCCTCTCCTCGCAAGTTGCCCCCTAAACTACTCCCTAGACACGTGCATGATACTCAATGAAATAGCCATGTCGGTCGGTTACACAGTCTCGATACTCATTGTGGGTCTCTTCCTCCAAAAGTATCGCCGCAAGCTGCGGGCGAAGCTCTGCGGGCGCGAGGATGTGGGGCCGAACATTTTCGTCGACGTCCTCCTGTTCGGGTTCTGCACCAGCTGCGTCGCACAGGAGGCGCGGGAGCTCGACAAAGCTATGGGCGTCACCGTCGAGTGTTGCTGCCAGCTGAGTACAGGCCGGCCCCTCCAGGACGCCCAGCCCTTGGTCGGCCAGCCAGTGCAAAGTCGGGTGATGTAGGATGGCGACGATGGGGTGAAATGGAGGTAGAGAGGACTCGACTGAATCTGATTCTGCCGGCGCGTGCGACTAGCCCGGCGTCTCTATAAATAGCCCCTTGGTGCTTGCGGCCGTTGCGGTTGTGCGTGCCGACCCGGGCGCGGCTTTGCGCTTCAACGAGGGCCAAAGGTGCCGCAATTTTTGTTTAATGCCATTCCCAGCCTGCCATCGTCGACCCCAAGCATCTCGAGAGCGGAGAATGTCTGCACACCGCGAAGAGCAGGTCTGTACATAAGCTCAGTGCTCTTCCCTCCGAGGCGGGATTTGTACATGACCGCCGCCCGGAGGATCCATTTTCGGGGGCCCTGGCAGGCGGTGGACATGGACATGTTCCGGCTCCCAGGGGCCAAACGTGTCCATCTCCACCGCCCGCTGGGGCACCAGGATGTTGCGCCCCAGGCGGTGGATCTGGATGAACCCCCGCCTCGCATTCTTGCCACCGATCCAGCGCCGCCGGGCCGCTCCACGCTGCCACGTTTGGCAGCGCCCTGCCGCCTCGGCTGCGACGGGCCGCCTCGCCGCCGGGCCGCGTCGCGGCAGACCTTGTGTGGTCGACGGCGGAGCCGTGGCCTCTCTCGTATCTGCCGCGGCGCGGCGGCGTCCGGGGCCTTGGGCACGGCGGCGTCAGTGTCTCAGCATGTCTCCGTCTTCTGTGGAGTCAGCGCTCCAGTCTTCCAGGCGGGATGGAAGGCGCGTGGTGTTACAGGGCTTCCCAGCACCAGGACGCTCGGCCCGCAGTGCGCTCAATAGCAGAAGCCCATGTTCTCGAGAGCGGAGAATGTCTGCAGACCGCGAAGAGCAGGTCTGTACATAAGCTCAGTGCTCTTCCCTCCGAGGCGGGATTTGTACATGACCGCCGCCCGGAGGATCCATTTTCGGGGGCCCTGGCAGGCGGTGGACATGGACATGTTCCGGCTCCCAAGGGCCAAAACGTGTCCATCTCCACCGCCCGCTGGGGCACCAGGATGTTGCGCCCCAGGCGGTGGATCTGGATGAACCCCCGCCTCGCATTCTTGCCGCCGATCCAGCGCCGCCGGGCCGCTCCACGCTGCCACGTTTGGCAGTGCCCTGCCGCCTCGGCTGCGACGGGCCGCCTCGCCGCCGGGCCGCGTCGCGGCAGACCTTGTGTGGTCGACGGCGGAGCCGTGGCCTCTCTCGTGTCTGCCGCGGCGCGGCGGCGTCCGGGGCCTTGGGCACGGCGGCGTCAGTGTCTCAGCATGTCTCCGTCTTCTGTGGAGTCAGCGCTCCAGTCTTCCAGGCGGGATGGAAGGCGCGTGGTGTTACAGGGCTTCCCAGCGCCAGGACGCTCGGCCCGCAGTGCGCTCAATAGCAGAAGCCCATGTTCTCGAGAGCGGAGAATGTCTGCAGACCGCGAAGAGCAGGTCTGTACATAAGCTCAGTGCTCTTCCCTCCGAGGCGGGATTTGTACATGACCGCCGCCCGGAGGATCCATTTTCGGGGGCCCCGGCAGGCGGTGGGCATGGACATGTTCCGGCTCCCGGGGGCCAAAACGTGTCCATCTCCACCGCCCGCTGGGGCGCCAGGACGTTGCGCCCCAGGTGGTGGATTTGGATGAACCCCCGCCTCGCATTTTTGCCGCCGATCCAGCGCCGCCGGGCCGCTCCACGCTGCCACGTTTGGCAGCGCCCTGCCGCCTCGGCGGCGACGGGCCGCCTCGCCGCCGGGCCGCGTCGCGGCAGACCTTGTGTGGTCGACGGCGGAGCCGTGTCCTCTCTCGTGTCTGCCGCGGCGCGGCGGCGTCCGGGGCCTCGGGCACGGCGGCGTCAGTGTCTCAGCATGTCTCCGCGCGCTTGGGCGAGGAGACGCCAGCTGAAATGGGGCTCGGGCGCGGCGTACCTGCTACACAAGCATGTGGCGGACTCACAGCACGATGCTTGCCCAAGGGGACCTCCAAGAAAACCCCGAGAAGCAAACATATGTTCTCTCGTTCAGGCAATCTTTTTTTGTTGGCCTTCCCCGCGCAAATAATAGCGTAAATTCGCAAAATCGTAAACCAGCACGTGGCTCGTTACGCGTTTAACGCTGGGGCCGTTTCCGCGCAAATCGGCCAGTGCGGGAACCACGCGCCGCACTCTGGCCATTCCCGCACCCGGAGGCCACAGGTGACATCGTAGAGGCGGCGATGGGTCTATGCCTCCCCTGGCAGGAAGCACACAAGGAATTTCGCAGCCAGTTTGCGGCCACCTGGGGATTCAAGCTGGCCGACTTTGCCTCCCTACACACCAAAATGGAGTACGTCATTAGCCACATCAGCATGCTGGCCACCTTCGCTCATCACCACCCGACTGCAGTGGAACACAATTGCCCCGGGACATGGGCAGGAATGCAGAAGCACGACTTCACCCTGGAGGCCCCCATGCGCGTGCTGGAAGCGATAGTCCAGCCTGCGAATGTAGGCCAGCTAAGCAGTGGAGACTGCTCCATTTGCCAGCTGCACAAAGCGTTGACGGGATCAGAGGAGGGACTAGGCAGTCCGCGCACCATGTCGGACCTGAAGTACATAGGGGGCGGGGTCGCCATGTCCAACCGCCGCCTCGACGAAGACCTCCCGGCCTCGCCAGCCCCTGGCACAACTCTTTCCCCTCCGACAGTACGGGACGAGCGATTCTGCAGGCTGCAGAAGGATGCCAGATACAACTGCGACGGCTGCACCAACACGGGACTACAGGGGACAGTCGGCACCTGGGAAGATGATGGCACCCGTGAGCTGCTCGCCCAGAACCGCGCGCAGGCATACATGAAGGGTAAGAACTGCAAATGGCTCTGTGAGATGTGCTGGGTCAGCTCCCTGGAAAGCAAGGGAATCCACGTTCCTGACCCCAACCAGGCTGACGGCGGTACCAAGAAGGCCATGCAGCAGCGGCTGCAGGAGTACAAGCGCAGAATGGGCGACGAACGAGCGCGCAAGAGAGCTCGGACCCCCCCCTCACTGTCCAGTCTCCCGCTGGGTATCGGACGGCCTAACGAAGCCTCGATCCCTTCATCCCTGAGTGACCTCGTCATGCGGGCGCCGCGCCCCTTCCAGCCAGCCTGCGCCGGCACCGCCCTCCCACCACGCAGGCTCACAGACGGCAGGTTTGGTGCAGAAACGCACCTCACCCAAATGTACTCGGCCACGTGCGACACCTGCCCCCCCGGCTCCCCCTTGCTTGAATGGATGCCCGGCCGTCCAGCCCTGGGATGTTTCATATGGCGCCCAGAGGCGGACGCCAACTGCAACGAGCAGACAGGGCTCCCGTCGTGGGATGCAATGCCCTTCTTATGGGTCACGCAGAAGTGGAACGCAACATGGGCCTGTAGGAGGTGCCTCGTTCACATCTGGAACATCGGCCCGGGCGTCCTCGACCAAGTACTCGACCGCTACTCCGACGAGGTTTACCCCGCCAACCCCACAGTGCGACAGGCCACAACCGACATTCCCGAGGACTGGTGCAACTGCGACATGACGGCACACCTTTCCCCAGCTAGCTGGGCCTCGGGCACAGGCACTGGCACGCTGGTCGCACCAGGCGACGATCAGTCAGCACTGCCCCCTGCTGCCCACGAACAAAGGGGTTCGGCCGACGGAGCCACCACCCCTTACTTCTTTCCCAACCAGCCGCCACCCCCTGCGCCCCAGCTGCCTGCATACTCCACCCACCGGCTGGCAGGGGGGGAGTCGAGAGCCCCCGTTCGCGCTTTAGTGAGGTACCTGATAGAGTGGAGCCACGCATCCTACACCCTCTGGGAGGCCTATGTGCAGCGACTGGGGAAGGATATAGTGGGCGACGTGACCGACGAAACGGGATGGCCCTTTTAGCAATTGCCGCCCTTCCTGGATTCAATCTACGGAGAGGAGATCCCCAGCAACGGCCATCCCCCACACATCCCATGGGACGGAAAGAGGGCTGCTGCGGCCAGGGTTGTCGCACGCCTGGTGGATAGCAACCCCAAGTACAAGAAGGAATGGGAGCAATACGCCAGCAACCTTGACAATCAGAAAGGACAGTGCCCCTACCGTCAGCCGATGCACGTCCTCACGCAGTTCCTCACGGAGCTGGAGAAGTATTTAACCAGAGGGACAATCGAACTCCTCGCCGCCCAACCACAGGACGTGACGTCCAGAGGATCAGAAGAGGAATCGCCTGCTGCCAGCTGGCTCAGCAGGCCCCAGGAGCGGGCGGAACTGCCCGCGCCCGACCAGCGCGGGGAGGAGCACAACGCCACCCTGGCCTGCGCCAGCGCCTCCCCCCAGGAACCTGACGCACCTGGCCCGCCCGATGGGCCCCCCGCAGAGGTGCCTTCCTCATCAAAGCACCCGAACGGCGACGGCAACGTGGAAGGCATTGACTGGGATGACGACGCCAACAAGAAGTCCGAGACGGACGACAGCCCGCCAAGTTCCCCCGACCCAGAACAACGGGGCGGCTCTGCGCACCAAGCTGATGACGCAGACAGTCCAGCTCCCACCTATCCGACGGCGGCCCAAGGCCCCCCCCGTTATGGACCCAGCCCCCCTCCACAGGGCTGAATCCGCAGCCTGGTCCCCATTTGCGCGGGCGTCAGATCGAGGGGCACCGCGCGGCGCATGGAGGAGGGGCGAAGCCCCCCCCCCCCCCAGTGAGGAACGAACTTGGAACGATCGTATCGGTGACGGCCGTTCACCCAGACAATCGGGGAGCGAAGCAGGCCGCCGACCACCCACAATCGCCGAAGACCGCAGCAGAGAACACTCTGCCACACCACCCCGCAGCTCACCCAGGCAGCGCCACAGCTCGCAGGGATGGTGGCACGACGCACGGACAGCAGCAATCCCACCTGCGCGCCGAGACGACCCCATGGGTGGCCTCCCCATGTACCTGAGACCCATCGGCGACGTAGACGTCGCAAGGGACGAGCCTGCGCCAGAAAAGATCACGCGAATGCAGAACATGCTGGTGTGTGTGTGTGTGTGTGTGTGTGCTTTCAATGGGGTGTGGAGCGCCTGGGTCAGAAAGGCGGCCTACAATCAAGGGTGCTCCTGGGTCAACATCGAGTCTGACCCCTGGCGAAACGCGCCACAGAAGTGCGACGACTTCCTCCAGGCATGGAGCAAAGTGGGATACGACGCCTGCAAAAGGGACAGTGAATACCAGCTCCACGTCGACTGGCCAAACGTCATGGAGAAGCAGCGCAGACACGCGCATCGCGACAATAGAGCGCGCGCAGTGGAACCCCATCGGAAGCGGAGGCAAACACCTGTGGACCGATGAGGGCCAAGAGGTTGCAAAGAACCCCCCATGGGCCTCCGATGGCAGAGCCGCGCGGACAGGTGCATCTGGATCCGCAGCCCCCTGGCGTTCTTGGCAGTCCTGGGGCGCGTGGGAGCATCATCGAGACACATGGACCGACGCAGACTGGAAGGCCAGGGGGCAGCGGTCCTCCCCCAGAGGAGATACCCACTACGCGGACAAGCGTCAGCGCGGGTGGGATTTTGACCCCAAGTGATCGCGACATGGCCTTGACGCAGACGCCCAAGAACCACCGCAGGTCGGAGGGGTCTGCCCGCCCGCGCAGGGTCCTTCCGCGGGCGTGCCTCACGCTGCCCCCTACCTGCTCATCGGGTCCTAACTGGGGTCCCGTGAAGGATGCCCCACGTAGCCTATCTGCGGCTCAAGCCTTTCTTCACCCAGCCATGCCAATTCTCAGAGTTGCCGCTCGGACTGTCATGGAGCGCAACGCTTGCTTTTTGGGCAATGACGACCTGTGGC